AATAAATGAATACCCCCTCCCTCACTTAAAGTGAGGGAGGGGGGAGGGAAAAAGGTATAATATCGGCCAATCAGTGAATCGAACACTGACCCTATAAAGGGACTATATAGCAAATAGCCTAACTGTACCAATAAGTAAAATTGACCTACGTACTACATCAGGCTCGAACTGACATCTCTTTTAGTGACATTAAAAGGCTTTACCATTAAGCTAGTAGTACTTATATTTATATATATATATATATAAAAACCCCCGCCCCCTCCTTTCATCATAACTACGCACCGCGGAGCTCAGCGTAGCTATGTGTAGTTGAAAGGGGGGGCGGGGGAAGGTATTGAACTGACACGATTCGAACGTGTATGACCTAGCCCAAATCTAGGGGACTTGCCGATTAGTCAACAATTCAATAACTACCTAAAAGTATAGATAAATTAATATTTATTTCATTTTTAATAAATTTTACTCTCCTATATATATATTATATCTATTTATGATTATTATTCTTTTATAATAAAGCCTCTTTGGAGGAGTAGTGTCAATACCCCCTCCCTCACTTTAGGTGAGGGAGGGGGGGGGAGGAATAGTTATTTCTTTGTACCAATATAGTATAAGATGTTTTCTGCTGATGATATAGCAGGAACAATTAATAAATAGTAAGAGAAGTAGAATGCAGTAGCATATTGTCCTAATTCAATATAAGGAACTTCTACATGAAGTTGACCTAAGTTACCTAATAAGATAAAGTTAAATATGAATAAGAAGAACATTGTTTTAGATAATACTTTAAAACTATTACCACGGATAAATGATCTATCTGTGAAAGGTAAAGTTAATAATATAAGTATAGCTCCAAACATAGCTATAACTCCTCCTAATTTATCAGGAATACTACGTAAGATAGCATAGAATGGTAATAGATATCATTCAGGTACAATTGATGGTGGAGTAACCATTGGGTTACCAGGTATATAGTTATCAGGGTGCTTATTTATACCTATCTCCCCCTCCTACAACGTAGGAGGGGGAGATATAACAGGTATAAATAAAGGACTATCTCTTTCCATATTATATATATATAAATATATATATAAATATAGATATGTGCGTATAGTCTCTGAGATTCCTACTAAGTAAGATAGATATCATTACCTTTGGTTATCTGCTGATTACATATATAATATAATATCTTTCCAGCATATAGCACATTACAATAATATAATAGTATATATATTATAGGGCCACTATTGACCTAATGTATTTGGTGAATAGAATACGAATAAACTAAATACTAATAAGAATACAAATACAGTAATTAAATCTTTAAAGATGAAATAAGGGTGCATAGGGATTCTATCAATGTTACCTGTGATACCTAGAGGGTTAGATGAACCATTAACATGTAATGCCATTAAGTGCATACATACTAAAGCAGCTAAGATAAATGGTAATAAGAAGTGTAAAGCAAAGAATCTTTGAATTGTAGGGTTGCTAACCGAGAAACCTCCTCAAATGACGGTGTGGCCTTACATATATATTTATTTAAATATTTACAATTTGTTTCCAAATTGACGAGACTATATCATCATCTTACATAACTAGTGCTGTATGTAAGAGTATGTAAGATGTGGGGATTTCGTGGTCAGATTATTGTTATATTACTCACTAACTAGTCGTTGAACATTCATTATCCTTTATAAATAATAAATTATTTATATATATAGATAATACTTTGCTACGAATTACCTTAATATAAGATATAATTATATAGGTTTTTTTGTAATTTACCCCATTTTCATATATATATCACTATATATAGCCGCTCTTAAAAATTCCCCCTCCTTCAATGAAGAAGGGGGTAAGAGATTATAGTTAGAACGGAACGATATCATTTCCAATAAATGGAATAGCTGATAATAAGTTAGTAATTACAGTTGCCAATATAAAAATATAATCCATATGAGATATACTCAATATATACATTTTTATTATATATATTTGTTAAAATAGATTATACCATGTACTTATTCTACTTCCCCCCCCCCTTAGGGGGGGGATGAGAGTAATGAATAAGCCTTGTGAAACTATTAGAATAGTCTATTATATTCGAGTGCACATTAAGCACCTTTACAGGTACCCACAATTGAACCACTCTGTAGGGATAATTTAACTTACCCATGGTCTTGTTACTTAACATATAATTTTGACCTATTTTCAATTATGTTGCATATATATCTATTTATCTATATAAATTTATTGTTAAAAATTACATTTATATATATCATATATATACTATATATTTATTTATATAAAGTTATATATTTTATTTTATATATATTTATACTTCATACTAGGTATAATATAAGATTTTATTAATAGATATAAGTTAGGTATATACTCCGGTAATATATATATATTATATTGATTTACTTTACCATTTGATTCTATAATACATAATATATTATATTTATTATATAAAATATTAGTTAAATATAATAAATCATTATATCTAAATGAATTTATAGGTAATAATAAACCTTTATTATGTTTAATACCTTGACCCATAGTTCAAATAGCAATAGCTAAAGGAGTTAGATAAATATTCATATCTTTAGGTATAACTTTAGTATTACTAGATAAATATCATTTATCATATATAGTATTAAATTGATTATTTCATAATGTATTAAATCTTATATATTTTATTATCTTACCATGCTTACTTAATTTAGTTAATATCTTAGGTATATTATTATTACAATAACCTTTATTATTTATTAAATTATATAAATATAATAAGTAATTATTATGACTAGATTCTTGATAAAAAGTTATTCTAGATTTATCAGTATTAATACATTTATTAACAATACTATTACCTAATAAAGAACCATATATTATACTTCGCCCTTCCTCGTCGAGGGAGGGGACCGTAGTATCTATATCTAAAGATTGTTTAGTATATTTATTTCTTATAGAATAGTATATATTCTTAGATATATTATATGAAGAATTTATAATAAAATAAAGTATATAAATATTAAAATATAAATTAAATATATTTGAGGCATTTAGGCTACCTCAGTGCGACATTTGCCCGTATACTAAACAGTACTGACCTATACCGTAAAAGATATAGTAATTCGACTGTACATTAAGCATCATTTCAGATACCCATTAGTGTTGCAGTCTGTAGCGATTATTTATATAACCGACGGTCTTATTACATTTAACCGTTTTCACTAATGTTGCCATAATATTTATTCTACTAAATACTATAAATCATACTTTTATGATTTTATCTTCTATAATCTTTCTTATAAAAGTTATAATAATATCCTATTCAGATAGAATATATCTTATACCCCCCAATTGGGAACTCCCAATTGGGGGGGGGGATTACAGATTAAACTTCTGTACTCCTCCACTTTCTTCATAAACTTCGTATCAATATGCTCAGCATAGCTATGTAGATAAGTAAAAGAAGGGGACAAGTTTAATAAAGATAGACTATTATTTAATTATATTCTTTATATATATCATTGTATGATTAGGTATATTTATATTAGTTGATTTATATTTAGTTTTAATATTTCCTTTAAGAGGAAGATGAGTTATAATATCATTATTATTATTAATAAAATCATTATTTAAATAAGGTATAAAAGAATCAGGTATATATATTCAACCTATTTTAAGACTATGTTCTATAGTCTTATAACTACAACATAATAAATTAGCTACTCTATTAATACCTTTTATAGTACATAATATTTTATTATTAAGAGATAAAGTAATATAAGAAGATCTATTTAAAGTTATATTATTTAATTTTAATAATTGCTCATTTGTCTTATGACATTTATTATTTAATTGTAATTGTTTTAACATTTCTTTACGTTCATTATTAAAGGGTAGATTAAATCTTTCAATATTTTCCTTAGTATGTTTATAACCAAAACTATTACCAGCTTCAGTTAATATATTATACTCTGGCATTAATAAAGAAATATATAATTTTTCTAATGTTATTAATTCTTTATTATTATATTTATTAATCTCTAAAGGATAATATTCTAATATAGCAAATATAAAATTATTTAAACCATATTTTAATACTGATCTTTTAATTAATTTAGATCCTTTATAATTAAGTAAATGTTTAACAAATCTATTATATAATTTATTAGTTGAACCTGAACCTATATAACAATTACGAGTAATTTTATTAATAATAATATATATACCTGCTTTATTATTTAATTCATTTCTAATAATAGAATGTTTATCTTTATTATTTAAATCACCTCATCATATTACTGGATCAATACCTATATCATTAAATATATCTAATTCATTAGTTATATCTTTAACAGGTAAAGATTTAGTATTTAAATATCTCTTACTAATATAAGGTCTCCCCATAAGGTTATAACCACCTTTGGAGAGAGTATTAGTACCTACTTTATTATTTATATAAGAATAATAATTAAGTAATTTTGGGCTACTATTATTTGTATAACCCATGAAAGCAATAGCCATTGTTAAGATGAAGATAATTACTCCTACAACTCATAACATAATTCTAGGACGTTTATAACTACCATAGTATAAAGCTTTACCAATATGTAAGTACATACAGATAAAGAAGAAACTAGCTCCATTAGCATGAATGTATCTAATTAATCAACCTGCATTTACATCACGCATTATATGCTCCACCGAGTTAAAAGCTAACTCGATATTTGAAGAATAGTGCATGGCAAGGAAAATCCCACTAGCAATTTGAATTACTAAACATAGTCCTAAAAGACTACCTAAGTTTCATCAATAGTTAATTGAACTTGGTTGTGGACTATCTATTAAATAACTATTAACCAATGATAAATATGTATTACTTTTACGTATAGGCATATTTTAATTTATATAATTAATTCAAAAAGAATATCTATTCACTTTTTAAAGTTAATAGAATAATAATGTTACCATATGAATTTTCACTTATCACAGAATGATAAGTATTCTTAAAATGCTTTTATATTCTCCTATATATCTATACATATAAATGTATAGGAGAGGAGGGACACTAAACTATATATATAAATATATATATAGTGATAATATAATATATATAGAGATATAGTATCCCTATATACTACCCCCTTTGGGGTTAAGCCCAAAGGGGGTTATATATCCCCCCCCCTCTTCGAGGGGGGGGAGCATAAGTATATTATTATAAGATATAATAGGAATATATATATGCTACGCTAAGCATGGTTAATCTCCTTATGAGGAGATAAAATTAAACAGCGTATAATAATAAGAAAGAGATCATTCCTGTCCCCCCTTCTATTTCATAGAAGGGGGGAGATAAATGTATAACCTCTTTCTTATCTAACATAGGAATATGTATGATAGTTTAACTATCTACAACTCCTTACGGCGATTAAACAGCGTATAATAATAAGAAAGAGATCATTAAACAGAATAATCCACAAGCTTCTGATAAGGCGAAACCTAAGATAGCTTGAGGGAATAATGTACTTCTTAATGAAGGGTTACGTGATGTACCGTTGATTAAAGCAACGAATACTAAAGCGATACCGATAGCGGCACCTCCTAATCCTAATGTAGCGATACTAGCTCCAATGTATTTAGCGGCTAATGCAATTTGCATGATTTTTATTTATTTATATATTAATATTGACAATTTCTTAGCCTAATAAGAATCGAACTTATATTTACCGATTATCAATCAGTCTCTTTACCATTAAGATATAGGCTATTCTATCTTTATTATATGCTCCCCCCCTCAAAGAGGGGGGGGTCGTATGTATGATACTTCTACATATATTATACCTATATATAAATATAGGTATATCTATTGTTAAATATATATTCTTAAATAATATGCCTTATTATAAGGGATAACATTTAATAATATTAATACTTATTATCCCCCCCCTCAAAGAGGCAAAGAGGGGGGGGGTGAGAGAAGAGATATACTTATATAAGTATATTTATTATACTTTAATATAAATATATGAAAATATATTATATATTAAAAGAGATATATATTATAAAATATATAAGAATAGATCCCCCCCCTCTTCGAGGGGGGGGGAAGATAGATATTTATATAATGTGTATATTGGGGGGAGAATAGATAATATTAGTATAAATCCCGAGCAAGTTCCCTTACTCGAACTGTATTTCAACTTATAGCATATCATATGCTCATTAATACACAAAGGCGTATTAAGACATTATCTATGCTATTGATGAGTGATTAGTGCGAAATATATGTATAGTTCACCATAGCACTCTTGTCTATGATTACTAGCAATTCCTTTTTCATATTACCGAGTTACAGGTAATAATCCAATTTAAAGAAAATTTATCATAATATCTTATATTTAATATTATATCTAATTAAATATATATATAAATATATATATTAAGATATATATAACTATATAAGAGATAGTAGTACACCTGTGGCCCTACTCATAAGGGTCATGATGATTAGTCTTTAGCCTCTACTTCCTATATCCTGTCAGATATACATAGTCATACGACCGAGGGTTTTGTTCATTAAATAACTTAATAAGATACCACAAAGCATGAACTGACGACAACAATGTAACGCCTGTATAAGTTATTATAAATAATAAAATATATTCAAGAGTAGGTAAGGTTTTAGGGGTATTGTCCAATTAAACAGTATACTCCACTGCATATATATATAACCGTCTAATGTCTTGCATTTCATCCTTGCGAACGTACTAGTCTGGCGGTATACTTTAAGCCTTCGCTTATCTATTTTATAGTATACATAGTTCACAGCTATAATTAAATGGGTACCGAATCCATGTCACTACTATAGCTTTCATCCCTCAGTGTCAATTTATTTTCTGTATATTCTATGCTGTCCTATAACTATCATAGTATTTTATCCCTAAAGTTATATTTCATTATACATTTAATAAATTCTATAGATACATCCAAATGATGTATTATTAAACCTACGGATCCTTTAGGCCAATGTAGATTAATGCTTGCTCTTGATGTCTAACCGCGACTGCTGGCACATCATTTGGTCAGAACTTCACTTTCATATCAATCATTCTTTAATATGAAGCTGAGATATTATAATAGTTAATATAATATATAATATATATATAAATATATATATTAAGTAATATAAGTTATTAAATCTCTTATAGATAGCATGATCAACCGTTAGGTCATTGTCAATAATTCCCCACTGCTGCTACTAATAGTAGTTGGCTTTATACCAATGTGATCGTTGTGACTTCCATCACCGACTATAGGTCTACGGCTAGTTAATTAACTAATACCTTCATCTAATAAGATACTTTTACATATCTATTATACTCACCTTAACACATCCCTTTCTATATAATACCCTTAGAGTATTATTATAGTTGAGATATTTGCATGTGTAACGCTTCTACATAGCATTTTATCCGAATCAACATCATGTTCATGACGTAAAACTATATGTTGAACTACTCAGAATTGAACTGAGACCAATCCATTATGAGTGGATCGCTCTACCATTGAGCTATAGTTCATAAATCTTGCTACCCCACCAATATAATGACCCCCGCAAGGGGTTATCACCCTACCTTAAACTTAGGGAGGGGTAATTAATCTTATATTGGTGGGGGGACACTTCTTGCAATAGATAGACTCGAACTATCATAATAAAAGCATGAATCTTATATGTTACCAATTACATTATATTGCGTTATATAAATTATGTCTCCTTTAATATATATTTATATAAATAATAAATCCTTACCCAAGGATGGATGATCCTCCAAAGGGGGGGAGAAGGGAGAGAGTAAGAATATATATAGAAATTTATCTAATACCTTGGGGTAGGTATATTTATATTGAGTATTTAATAAGAGTATAATAATTTATTTATATCTCATATTATATTTATAATTCCATTAGGGAATAATCCATAGAATATAGTAGGTATAATTAGAGAGATTAATAAGACACTTTCTCTATAAGTACAATCATTAGTTAAAGCGATATAAGGTGTTTTAATACCACCAGTTAATCTATTAGTAACTTTCATCATATATGCAGCTGATAATAATACAGATAATATAGCTAATGATGATAATGGGAAAGTTTGATTAATAGCACCTGTTAATGATAATAATTCACCTATAAAGTTAACTGATAATGGAGTACCTATATTACAGAAACTTAATATAATTAAATATATAGCTAATATAGGCATATATGTAATTAAACCTTGATAATTATATATTAATCTACTATGATATCTATCATAAAGAATACCACCTACAATAATAAATAAAGCAGGAGATACAAATCCATGAGCTATAGATAATATTAGACTACCACCTATACCTATAACACTATTAGACATTAAACCTAATATACATACAGCCATATGTGCAATAGAACTATAAGCAACTATAACTTTTAAATCAGTTTGTCTTAATGTAATAAGTGATATATATATTATAGTTATAACACCTATTAAAGTTACATATGGTGTATATAAATAAGCAGCATCTGATAATGTTGGTAAGATTAAACGTATAATAGCATAAACAGCTAATTTAAGAATAATACTAGCTAATAACATAGAACCAGCTAAAGGACTTTCAGAATGTACAACAGGTAATCAAGTATGTAAAGGAACTAAAGGAGTTTTAACCATAATACCGATAGATATAGCTAAGAATAAGATACATTGTAGATCAGTAGATAAAACTAATAAACTAACAGCTTGATAATCAGTATTACCAATTAATACTTCATAAACAGCAATAGCAATTAACATAAATAATGATGAGAATAAAGTATAGATTAATATATAATCAGCAGCTTTTTCTCTATTATTAGCACCATATAAACCAATTAAGATAAATAAAGGAGCTAAAGATGCTTCAAAATAGATATAGAAAGATAACATATCTTGACACATAAAGTTAATTAATAAGATAATACCTAAATTAAATACTAATTCATAATATAATGTTGTTTTAATACTATTTCAATTAGCTATAATTGATAAGGGTAAAATATAAGCAATTAAAAGAATAAAAATATCAGCAATACCATCAGTAGTATAATATACATCTAATTCATTTCAATCATAAAGAGTTGGAATAACTATTAAAATACTAGCTACTAATATTATTGATTTATTAATACCCTTAAAAGTTCTACTTATAACAGATGTAGTTGAAGAAATTATAAAATATATTAATGTCATTTTGTTAAATAATAATAAATCTAATTCATATTATATATATATAAATATATATATATAGTTAAATTAGCATAAGAGTAGAGTGTATGATCAAAGGGACTTGAACCCTTAATAAATTAGACCTAAACTAATCGCGTATACCAATTCCGCCATAATCATATATATCACATAATAATGACCCCCGTAAGGGATAATTAAAATATAAGAGAATAAGTATTATATCTTGGGAGATCCCCCTATCTAAAAGATAGGGGGATTCCGTCATAATCATACCCCCTCCCCACCTAGGTGGGGAGGGGGGAAGTAATTTTATATTTCTATAATATATTTCCATTATTATATAATTTATATATATAATAAGATATATATAGATAATATAAAGTGGGTATAAATATCGGATGCAACGTGATTCGAACACGTGGGTATACACCTTGATAGCTCAAATATCACACCTTAAACCTCTCAGTCATACATCCTTAGATATTTACATATGTCACTTTATAATACCCCTCCCCATCTAGATGGGGAGGGGCATAAGATATATTCATATTAATTATATATTATACCTATATTTATAATAAATTAATATATATATGTATTATATATTTAATATACTCACCTATATATAAGTATAGTTTACTTTCTTTATCCACCCCCCCCCCCCTTCCCCTCCTTAAGAGGGGAAGGGGGGGGGGAATAGTTATACTCTTTCTATTAATATAGGTAATTCAGAGTAAGTATGATATTGTGCTGGTTTAGATAGAATTAATTCTAAATCAGAATCACGTGTATCTCTTGTATTGTTAGACTCTAAGTAATCAGGTGTAACAGCAGCTTCACGAGTGATGTTTTCACCTTCAGTTAATTGAATTAAGACACTATAAAGTCCTATAATAACAGAGATAACAGACATTACTGATCCTCAAGAACTAATAATGTTTCAACCTAAGAATGCATCTGGGTATTGTGGTATACGTCTAGGCCAATTGTATTAACATATATATCAATTAATATATATATCTATATATCTCTATATAGTTTAGACTATGTCATCATCTTTCCCCTACTACTAGATAAACTAGTCCCCCCTCGAAAAGGGGGTATATAGTAAAATGAAGGGAAAGATGTAAGGTATTCATGGAAGAATTATTTCATCTTCTAGTCGTTGAATGTCTCATATATTTATATATGATTTCACTACAAATTATCTTATATATATATATATATAAGAGATTTTTATAATTAACCTCATTTTAGGAAATAGATTGATTTCCTCCCCTCCTCCACTTAAGTGGAGGAGGGGGTATTATATCTTACGATATAAAGGGACAAATAGTTTATCCCATTTAGACCTAAGAAGTGCATTGGTAGGAAGATAACATTTACAGATATGAATAATAATCAGAAATGAGCTTCACCTAAAACTTTATTATAGTTTAAACCAAACATGGCATAACCTCAATAATAGTATCCAGCAATAAGGCTAAATAAAGCTCCCATTGATAATACATAATGAAAATGCTAAGATTTACTCTTCTGGACTATCTCTTTATCTATATATTATATTATTTATTATTATAATATATAAATAATTGACATATAGTCTCTGGGAATCCTGTTGTATATATAAGTAATAATATGAGATAGATTATTACCTTTACCCCCCTCCTTAGGAACCTCCTAAGGAGGGGGGAATCTCATAAGATTATAAACAGTTTTCTGCTGATAATATATAGATAGAAATATCTATATAGTTCTCAGCATATAGTCAATTTTAAATAAATAATGTATGCCATCCCGAAGGGATGGGATCTATATCCTCTTGGTGGAGGACATGTATGCTCCCCCCCCCTCTTCGAGGGGGGGGGGAAGACATTATAAAATATTTAGGGCCATACGACCCACAGTGTAGTAAGTATCATGGAATGCAATATCAATTGAGGCATTAGATAACATAACTCCTGTTACTTTTTAAGGACTATCTCTTAATACTTAGTATATCTATATATAAGTATTTTTCACATATAGTCTCTGAAGTAATTTATAGACTAAATAGAATAAATTACTTGCGGATAATTAAATAGTATAAGTTTTCCGCATATAGTGAAATTAATTGAGGTCTAACAGAGTTAAATAAACCTCCGATAGTGAATAAGAATAGGAATCCTAATGCAAATAACATTGGAACAGCTAAACGTAATTCACCACCATATAAAGTTGCTCATTATATAAATCTTTTATCATTTCAGATACAGTTAATTTATACCGTCTCATATATAATCCATCCATAATATATACCTAGCAGAGTTTCCTCTTCAGAATATGTCCCGCCAAGCAAGGGGGATAACCTGAACCCCTTCTCCTTCTAGGAGAAGGGGAAGCATAATATTAATGGAAGTCGTTTTGATAAGATTATATACTTAAATAAGTCATAGACTTATTACCATCACTGGTGACTTAGGATTATACCTTGGGCAATCATAGATCTAATATTATCCTTAGATTACCTGGAGCGTCTAATCTCTACGCTTTTACACAATAGTTTCCCAATATATTAATAATATCTTATATATTTATATATAAATTGTGATTTAGTTCGGCGATTGTCTTTTATATATTATTCTCCCCCCCTTCTATTTTATAGAAGGGGGTTACATAAACGACTATATTATTTCTATATAAAAGAGTTCTCCCGAGTTTGCCCCATATTATACATAATTCTTATCTTTTAATATATATTTATATATATTAAATCAACCTTTAGATTGATATCATATAATATCTTTTATTAATGACTATTCACAAGTGGGAGGCATTAAGAATAACATAAGATAATTAGAATTATATATATTTTGATCATCTAATTGTTCTTACTGAAGGAACATAACAATCATGAGAAGATTTTAATACCAGTTGGAACGGCAATAATCATAGTTGCACTAGTAAAGTAAGCTCTACTATCAATATCTAGACCCACAACGTACATATGATGGGATCATACTAGGAAACCTAATAAACCAATACTTGCAATAGCATAGATCATTCCTACATGACCAAATATTTCTTTTTTACTATATGTTGATATAACATGTGAAATAATACCAAATCCTGGGATAATTAAAATATAACTTTAATATGGACTTTATCTTAAACTGAATTAATAATATATTTAGATCTGAAATATTATACTTATAACACTATCAGACCCCTTCTATTATATAGAAGGGGGTAATAGAAGTATTTTATTATATAGATTAAATTCAGCTCTATTGCGTAAAGTCTCTGAAGTATTTAATTTAAATATATATTAAATACCTGCTAATTGGCTTAGAGATATAAATCTCATAAAAGAGATGAATATAAAGCTATTTTAGCATTTAGCAATATAAAGAAGCCTATATTTTGTAAAACCCTATGACTTCTGGATGCAACTAATCTTGTTAGTTGGACTATATCTTCTAACATATACATAAATATAAATAAAATATTATTTATATAAATATATATCTCAGATGTGCTTGTAGTCTCTGAGGTTCCTACTAAGCTAAATATAACCGCAGCTTAGCTGCGGTTATATTTAGCTGTTGGTTACCTGCTGATAGGATTAACCATAGTTAAAATCTTTCCAGCATATAGCACATTTCAATACAATTATAAATATAAATTTATAATTTATTATTTAAGAAAATAAAGGGCCCACAAGACCGAAAAATCAAAAAAGATGTTCGTATAGGATTGGATCACCCCCCGCTGCTACATCATAGAATCCTGTATTAAAGTTACGGTCCATTAATAATAATGTAACTCCCGCTGTTAATACAGGTAATGATAATAATAATAAGAAAGCTGTGAAGAAAATCGCTCACACAAACATTGGCATGTCAATCATATGAACCCCAATACTACGCATGTTAAGTGTTGTAACAATGAAGTTAATAGCACCTAATAATGATGAAATACTTGTAAGGTGGATAGCAAAGATAGCTAAGTCTACTGATGGTCCAGAATGTGCACTAATAGATGAAAGAGGTGGGTAAACAGTTCCTTTATGTTAACATATATATATCATAATATTCCCCCTTTTCCCACACGTAGGAGAAGGGGTATTTATATAATATATCCTCGAATAAAGAGGCTATTACTTAATAGATATATCTATATATCACTATATAGTACAGACTATATCATTATCTTTCCCCTTCTACTACGAGTAGTAGAAAGGATATTTATATAAAGATATAAGGTCTTCTTGAGAACTTATTAATTCTTAGTCGTTGAACGTTAATATATATATATTTACATATATTCTTCGCTGCATATTGTCTAACTAATATAGATATTTATGCAATTAACCTTATTTTAGGAAATATGATTGATCTCCTCCCCGCCCAACGGGCGGGGGGAAATTAACCTTATTTATATTATATCTCACAATATAATTGGACAAATAATAATTATCATCCCCCCCTTCTAGGATATAGAAGGGGGGGGGAAGGGCATAACATCTGAAAGTTATACTTGTCTTTTTGAATATGTATTTATTACATATATTTATAAATAATATATCTTATAATATAGTTCATACAAATATAGGTTACCCGCTTTAAGGTAGGATATTGACTTAATTTAATAAACTATATTTATTATATATACTTATTTATCATATTTTCATTTATTTATAAAAACATAGGCTCATCCCGTACCCGCACCCGACTCTATTAATACAGAACCAATAATACAAACTAATGCCGGAGGTAAACATCAAAAACTGATATTGTTTAATCTAGCAAAGGCCATGTCAACGGCACCAATCATAATAGGCAAGAAGAAATTCATTTATTATTTATATATTAATATAAATATGGACTATCTCTTATACTTAATATGACCCCCCCCCCTCGAAGAGGGGGGGGGATATATAAATATATGCTAATAGCATTATACTTTAAGTATTTATACGTTTAGTCTCTAGGGTACCTACTCATATATTATATAATATACTTTGGTTACCTATTGATTGTCCATTTAGATATCTCCCCTGGGGAATAAGATATTTCATCTTTATATAATAAAAGTTATAACACTTATATACCCCCTCCCCCTATTTAATAGGGGGAGGGGGGAATGAACGTTATTATATTAAGCTTTAGGAGTTTTCAATATATAGTATAATCATAATATATCATACCATCCATTTAAGGAGGTGGTATTTTAATATTATATATGGCAATTATCTCTATAATATATGCCATCACGAATGGATGGGTATATCTCCTCCTGGTGGAGGACATATATTAATTATACTTAGAGATACTTCTTATTTACCAAAAGCCCCGATTAGTACCGGCATTACAAATAGGAATATCATAGCTAATGCATGTCCTGTTACCAGAACATTATATACCTGATTATCCCCACGTAAGTATTGAGAACCTCCACCAGATAATTCTAATCTAATTATAACAGACATAGATGTTGCTACCATAGCACTTATCATACCAAATATTAGGTATAAAATACCAATATCTTTATGTGATGTACTAAATAATCATCGTGTTGTATATGACATATTATTTTAATAATATTTCTATATATTTTTATATATTTTATATTCTAACTAAAATTATCTTATATTAGATAATTTTCTATTACTTCTCCTATCTTATCTAAATCAAATTCAAATATAATATCTCACTTCTTATCCCCCCCTTCTTTCTAAGAAAGAAGGGGGGGATGAAAGGAGGAATAGATAGATATTATATATTATAATATATATTAATGTAATTCTACTGAATCTTTAATGTATCCAGATAATAAGATACTGAATACGTAAGCTTGGATAATAGCAATACCAAATTCTAGTATAGTAATAGCTACTACAGCTAGGATAGGAATAATACCACTAACAAACCCTAAGATAGATGAAGACATTAAACTAATGATTAATGAACCAAGGATTAACATAAGTAAGTGACCTGATAAGATATTAGCACCTAAACGAAGTCCTAATGATATAGCACGTGATGTATATGATAAAGCTTCGATTAATACTAATACAGGTACTAATGCTAAAGGTGTACCACTAGGTACAAATAAAGCAAAGAAACCTCAACCATGTAAATATAATCCTAAGATTACATTACCTAATCATAAAGCTAATGAGAATGATACTATAGCTACTAATTGTGCTGAAATAGCAAATGAATAAGGAATCATTGAAATTAAGTTAGCTATTAAAATAAAGTTAAATATTGTAAATATTAAAGGGAAATAATATCCTCCTTTACGTCCTATTTGTCCGTTAACTAAGTTTAAGATTGTATCATATATTGCTATAACTGATACTCCTCAACGTGATGAACCTAATTTGTTGTTACGAATTATACTACTATAAAATACTATAATTAATGATACTATTACTAAATATAATGTATAATTAGTAATACTAAAAGCTAATGAATCTGAAATAATTAATAATGGTTTTAATTCAAATTGATCTAGAGGTGAATAAAACATGTTTGTTTTTATATTTATTGGCCATAGATTAACCCGGCATATTATTATTATATATAGATATTATATATATATATATATATCTTCCACAAAGAAGATTATATTAGCATATATGACCCCCCCTCCGAAGGAGGGGGGGATACTGCTAATTATATGACTCTTATCTTCCCCACCTTTTGATAAGCAAAAGGTGGGGAGGGAGAAAGAAAGAGTATTTATAATTTAACAATTATATTACGAGCAATTAATAAACGTAATATATTAGGTAATAAAATTGTAGCTACAAAATATAATAATACTGATATAGCTAAAATTCCACCTGTTAATAAATTCATAAAGTAAAATGGTACTAATTGAGGCATTTGTTAGATAATAATATAATTGATATTAATTTCATAACTTATTCTATTTATTTAATATTCCCTTTCACATCCCCCCTCCTAAGGAGGGGGGGGAAAGAATGGTATAAATAAGGTTAAGAATATAATAGGAAATTCTATAATTTAATAAAAATCAGATTGGAAGGACTTGAACCCTCAAAATCCTACACCCAATGTAGGCTCGATACCATTACGAGACAATCTGTTGCCTTACCCGCCCCTATTATATATAATAGGGGCGGGTAAGGTTGGTAATACATATTTGCAGCCTAATTAAATGTAATATCTACCTCTATATACTTCATCTCCGGAAGATGAATATTATATTTCTTACGATAATGTATAAGGACTTTCATATGTATAACACTATGTAGGGAATTGAACCCTAGTTAATCAAGCTGCAATTGACCATCTATACCTATAGTCATAGCGAAATTTATACTATATTATCTATATAAATAGATATTATAGAATTTATATAGTCTAAAAGAACTAGGATATCATCCCCTTCCCCCCTCCTATATCCTATATAGGAGGGGGTCCCATAATTCTCTAAGAGAATTATATATTTTAATATACGATAGACGTGATTCGAACACGCACTGAAGCATTGGAAGTGCCAGAGTCTACCATTAACCTACTATCGTTTATTTATACCTACCTATATTTATATTTATATATCTCTCCTAAATAAATATATATATTTCCTTATATATATAACCTTATAATAGGTATTTATATATCTCCCCGCCCCCTTTCAGTGTAGCTGAAAGGGGGCGGGTATATAAGTTATACCTTTATTTAAGAAAAGAAGAATAGATATAATAAGTTTAGGATAAATATATAATTTACATATCTTAATGCTTTACTAATACCAACAGATCCAAATATTTTTAATAATAATCCATTTTCAATCTTACTATTTAGATATCCTCCAAACACTAATGTTTTACGAATAACTATATTATTTAATAGTTGATCAAAGTATATTTTATTATTGAAATAATTATGTATTACTGATGGTCTTACTTTATAAGCATATTCATATATATAAACTAATAATAATGATAAAGATAATCCTAATATTAATGGTAATAATTTAATATATCAAGGTAATGTAAATTCAGTCTCTATAAAGTTATTATTCGCTGGTATTTGCATTCCATAATGAGCTATAACATTATCTCTATTAAATCCTATAAATATACTATATATTATTAATATAATCATAGGTATTAACATATATATATTTTCATGTATATATTGATATGATGCTTTATTACTATTAGGGTTATTATAAAAAGTTAAATATAATAATCTTATAGAATATAAACTAGTTAAAGTTGCTGAACCTACAGCAATATAATATAAAACATAACCACTAAATGTATAAGTACCATATAATGACTCAATGATAATATCTTTTGAATAGTAACCTGTTAATCCAGGTATAGCCATTAAAGATAATGAGGCTATTAATATAGCAGTATAACTAAATGGTAAATAATTAATTAAACCACCATATTTACGCATATCTTGTGTTTCAGATATATAACTATGTATAACTGATCCTGCACCCATAAATAATAAAGCTTTAAAGAAAGCATGACAATATAAATGATATATAGCTAAATCATATGAACTTATACCTATAGCTAATACCATAATACTTAATTGAGACATTGTTGATAAAGCAATAACTCTTTTAATATCATTAGTTACTATAGCTATTAATCCACTAACTAATGTAGTTATACCACCTAATCAACAAATTATAAATAATATAGTTGATGAATATTGTATTAAGAAGTATGATCTTACTAGAACATATACTCCTGCACAAACCATAGTTGCTGCATGTAATAATGCACTAACTGGAGTAGGCAATTTGTTTTATATATATATTTCTTTATTATATATATAGCATTTATTTACATAAATGTTCGGACTTAATCTTTTATATTTATATTATCTAAATATAATTTCACGTAAAGTCTCTAAGATTATATTATATAAATATATAATATTATCTGATGATTTTCCAACATATATAGTATTTCACAGGGTGTTATATTACCCAATGATATAGCATTATATGGCCCCCTCCTAAAGAGGTCTTTAGGAGGGGGATTTTTATGATTTGGAGATTCCATCATATAGTGAAATTTTATGAGAGCCTTACTTCACCCTCCATAGCATGTAATAATCATGCATGTAAACCTAATTGTGCACTTTTAGCAGTAGCTGCTAATAATAAGAATAAACATATACTAAATATTAATAATGGTTCCATAGATGGAGCTAACATTTCTAATGTATCAAAATCTACAGCATGGAAATCTTTTAATAAGATACATAATACTAACATAAAGAAAGTATCACCCATACGGTTTAATAATATAGCTGATAATGCTGCTTTCATAGCTGCTATTCTTGTAGATCAAAATGATATTAATAAATATGATATAACTCCTACAAATTCTCAACCAATAAACATCATGATATAATTATCACTAACTACTAATATTGTCATAAATATAGCAAATACACTTAATATAATTAAGAATGTATTACGTTTAGGATCATGACTCATATATTCTATAGCATATAATAATACACACATTGTTACTATACCTACTGGTACCATAACTGTCATAGATAAAGAATCTAATATAATACCATATGATATATTTATATCACCGATATTAACTCAATCACCAATATGTATTCTTATTGGTTCTTCTCATATATAATAGAAATATTGGAACATTAGATTGTATGACCTACTTTCCCTCTTAATCTATAATATGATACTAATATACTTAAACCTATAGCTGATTCAGCACCAGCTAATATAATTATAACTATACTAAATATAGTTCCATATATATCATCATATACACCACCTAGATATATTAATTTAACTGTTACTGTTAATAGTAATATTTCTATTGCTATTAATAATGTTATTAAATTATTTTGACTTATATAAAATAATAATAATATTGATATAAGTGCTAACATTTTATTTATTTAATTTTATCTAATATATATACACTCTTTATATTATATTGTGTTTTAATCATATTTACTAATCTATATTTATATATAAATATTTACATTATAAATAATATAAATATAGGAGAGGGGAAAAGGAGCTGCCAAATAGGATCCCCCATACCCATATAACTATTCCTTTTATTATATATAAATAATATATAAATAGTATATAAAGAAAGGATTTAAGAAAGTATAATAGTATAGTTAGTATATCATATATAGATATATAGTTTATATATGAACCGACCCTTTAAGGGTTGGGTACCATGCAATATACATGACATATAGTCATATATTAGTTACATAATTATATACTTGATACAATTATATAACAATCTATTTATTTATAAATATATATATTATATCTAATCATAATAATAATATATAAAGATATATACAGAGATTCTCCCCCCTCCTAAGGACCTCCTTAGGAGGGGGGAGAAAAGGAAGTTATTATATATGTATAATATAAATTATATATCTCTCATTATTATAAGTATAATCTATACCTTATATCAAGAGGATATATATTATATAAAATTAATAAAATTAAAATAAGTAATTGTAATTTTTTACAATATATATATAAAAAATATAGGAGAGGGGAAAAAGAAAAGGAGAAGGGAAAAAGGAGCCGCCGGGTAGGACCCCACATACCCCACCATATAACTATTCCTTTTAAATAAAATTATATAGAATTAATTATTATTAAGTTAATACATTATCTTTTGATAAATTTATTAATATAACCAATACTATATATATGACAAATATTTCTATATATTGTAAAATAGTACTATATTTGATATATATATAACAGTCTATTTATTTAGAAGTTTATATCTTTATATAATAATATAATATATATATATTTATAAAGATATGATTTAGTATAGAAGTAGTTATATATGTATATCATAATATAAATAATATAACATAAATAATATCATTTATCTATTATATGAGGTAGGGATACCTAATCTTTGTATACAAAGATTAGGCATCTATTGCTATATTTTATCAAAACTATCTTTTATAACATAATACCCACTACAATCTTATAATCCTAAATGTTTAAATAGAATATATATATTTTCGTTATATATAATAATATAATATATCTTATACAAATAATCACCTTTGATTAGAATATGCTATGAACATAATCTTAATAAAATAGATATATATTTAATATAATATATAAATAATATAAGTATTATAATAAGGTAGAGTGATATAAAATAGTCATAATATAAATAGTATAACAATAATAATACGATTTGTCTAGGTATCAAAGTAAGATACCCGATCTTTGTAATACAAAGATCGGGTATCTAAATCTTTAATACTTATCATAGTTATTTTTATTAACTAAGTACTTATTATATCATATAATCCTATAATCCTATATATATAAATAGAATATAATAAATTATAAGAATATATACAACGGGATATGCTACTTTACCCCCCCCCTCGAAGAGGGGGGGGGGGAGATATAGCTTTTATATCTATTTATAACATACTCAGAATAAGTTATTATTTTATAAGATATATTATAATATATATAGAATTATACTTGTTATAAGGGTGAGCATTTATAAGATAATAATATATGAAATAAATATTACTTTACTTCCCCCTCTACGAGGGACTCGTAGAGGGGGTAGATATAGCTTTAACCTAAATAAAAGACCTATTTATATCTATATTTATATCTCTCTATAAATATATAGTTATATAATATTATAATCAATAATATATGATAAGTGTATATAATAATATATATTTATAAAAAAATATACAATACCCCCTTTTATGATTACCCATAAAAGGGGGTATAGCATAAATAAATATAAGATATATATATATATCTTAATTAAATATTATATATATATGGAGTTCCCTATTTAATAGGAAATAATAAAATAACCACAACGAGATTTGAACTCGTATAACGACTACGAAGAAGTCATATCATAACCATTAGATCATATGGTCTTTATAATAATAGATGTCCTATATAGGAATTGAACCTATGGTCTTTCGATTACAAAACGAACGCTTTACGGCTAAGCTAATAAGACGATAGATAAATATACTACTTACCCCTCCCCCTCTTTTAGAGGGGGAGGGGTCATAAGATTAAATATATTAAGGTATTATACTATATTATGGGCAACTACTGAGACTCGAACTCAGATATATCATTCCACATACGAAGGTTTTACCTTTAAACTATAGCTACCTAATTTATATATTTATATAATATATATTAATATACTATATAAATAAGGGATGAGATAGGACTGAATCGAACAGTCGTAGCCTTAAGCATTATAGCTACAATATAACTCTAATTACCAACATTAGAACTATCTCTAGTAGTATCCTCTATTATATATATATATATATAATAACATACTTTATAAGTATGAAAGATTCTATATGATCAACCCTCGCCATATAGGTGGGGGCTATAGAGTGAGGAGGGAGTTTACGATTAAAAGGACTCGAACCTTTACGGCATAACGCCCAAACATTTTAAGTGTTTTATGTCTACCATTTCATCATAATCGCTTTATTATTTATTAATACTCTCCTATATATGTAATAAATATTTATAATAATTATATATATAATTATATATATTATACTACCCCCCCGCAAGCGGGGGGGTAAATATAACTAGATGCAAGATGCAAGAGTAAAAGAAGAATAGATAATATATTTATATAATCCCTTTCGAAGAGAAGGAATTATATGGAGGATAAAATATATATAATATGAGAAGGATAATATATATAAATTTATGAACCTCATCAGTATACGATGATATAGATGAATAATCAGATAACATCTAGAACATGAAGGTATAGTATAGTTGTTTCAGCTCCTACATGAGAAGTATTAGTGAAATCATAATTATAAACTCTTCAAGTACATACAATTAACATAATAGTTAGCATAATCATATGTAAACCATGTAAACCAGTTAATGAATAGAAAGTAGAACCATAAACTCCATCAGTAATAGTAAATCCAGCATATCTATATTCTAAGAATTGGAATACAACGAATAAAGCAATTAATAAAGTACTATAGATAAAACCATATAAAGTATTAGTTCTATTACCATTAATTAAAGCATGATGAGCATAAGTAATAGTAACTCCGGAAGCTAATAAGATAATAGTATTTAATAAAGGTAATTCAGCTGGAGAGATTACATCAATACCTACAGGAGGTCAACTCATACCAAGATCCATAGTAGGGTTTAAGGCAGAGTGTAGATAAGCTCAGAATAAAGAAGCAAAGATTAATATTTCACTAACTACAAATAATAAGAAACCTTGGTTAAGACCACGTTTTACTGCAATAGTATGATCTCCTAAATATGTACTTTCAGCAATAATATCTTTAAATCATAATGTCATACTATATAATACACAAATAATACTTAATAAGATATATAAGTTATTTGCTATATAACCATGAGCTGTTAAACCTAAAGATAAGGCTAAATCCATTAAACTAAATGATGTGAATATAGGTCATGGTGATGGACCTACTAAGTGGAAAGGATGTAATTGTAGATATCCTCTAACGTTATTTGTCATAATTTTTATAATTTATAATAATACAATAAGTATATATGATAGGAATGATTGGAATTGAACCAATATATTTAACTTAAAAGGATAAAGTCTTTACCATTAGACGACATTCCCCTTATCCTTATACTATATATAAAATATTCCCTTTCCTACGCTAGGAGGATATCTTAACTCCCTTAGCAGAGCTGGAGAATATCTCTATAAACTCCCCCCCGCCATGCTTATTGCATGGCGGGGGTATATTAGAATAGTCATCTTATGTTATACTCTTTATAAAGTTCCATTATATTATCCTTATTTATTTATATCATTATATATGAATATATAAGTATTCTATGCCTTCGATGAGACTTGAACTCAGATAGACCGCGCTTCAAGCGATTGCTTTAACCATTAAGCTACAAAGGCTAAGTATATATATTATTTAACTGGTAAGGTTATATTCCCCCCCCCCCCTTCGGGGGGGGGTCAAGGGCAAATAGAATCGAACTATTATGCAATGTGTTGAAGACATCTGCTTTACCATTAAGCTATACCCTTAAGTTATATTAATATAATTTATAATTAAATAAGATATCTTATATAAAGGGTAATAATCTTTACCCCCCCCCCGAAGGGGGGGTAGTAGTAGGAATAACCTAGGTGTCATAATTTATTTGAACTTATATTTATATTATATTTGGAAATATGAGTCGTAATGGATTCGAACCATACCGCCCTCGGGGCGGGATTGTTCGAATCTATCACTACTACATGGGATAACTTCGAATATGACCAATTGTTATCCCTTTCCCATGAGTCGTAATGGATTCGAACCATTAGCTAAGACGTGTAAGATCTGTGATTTACCCTTAATCGAACAACTCATGCCTTATTAGGAATCGAACCTAAATTGTTATATTAGAAGTATAAAATTTTACCATTAAATTATAAAGCATTTAATTAAATAAATAGATACTATAGAGATAAATAGTTATTACTCATCCCCCCTACTCCCTAAGGAGTAGGGAGGTATATATGAGATATATTTTATATATATTATATCTCACCTATAAATATATTCTCATATTATATACATATAATTATGGATACTATATAGTATCTTTTCCCCCCCCCCTTCTATGTTATAGAAGGGGGGGGGTGGGAGAATAGTTATAATAATATAATTGCGTCTAATGAATATATTAGTACTGGTATAAATATAGCTACACCAAATAGGACAGGTAAGAATACCATTCAACATAAGTGTATTAATCTATCATATCTAACTCTAGGTAGAGTAGCTCTTACTCAAATATAAGAGTAAGCAAATACATTAGCTTTTAAGGCTAATATAATACCAGTACCACCACCAAAGAATAATATAGCAGTTAAAGTAGATAAGAATAGTATAGCGGCATATTCAGATAAGAAGAAAAGAACAAAGATAGATGAAGAGTATTCAGTCATATGACCAGAAACTAATTCAGATTCAGCTTCTACTTCATCAAATGGAGGTCTAGCTGTTTCAGCTACACAACCTATATATCACATTATAGATAATGGTAATAAAGGTATACCTATTCATATTGATTCTTGTAATTCTACATATTTACTTAAATTCATAGTACCAGCTAATAATATACATATTAATATAATAGTTGTTAAAATTAATTCATAACTAATTAATTGAGCTGTAGCACGAATACTACCTAATAATGAATATTTACTATTACCAGATCATCCAGCTAATAAAGGACCAAAACTACCAACACTACTAATAGCTAACATTAATATAAAACCATAATTACTATCATAAATAGTAACACCTGGTGCAAAAGGGATAATAGATCAACAAAGAAGTGATGATACTAAAGCAATCATAGGACTAAGGAATAATATGAATTTATCTGCATGAGTAGGTGTAATTATTTCTTTAAGTAATAATTTAGCTGCATCAGCAATAGCCATTAATACTCCTAAATATCCTACAGCATTAGGACCTACACGTCTTTGCATATAACCCATAGTCTTTCTTTCAGCAACAGTTAAAAATGCTACTGCTAAAAGTACACTAACAAACATAATTAATAATTCTATATATTGCATTATTTAGTTATTGCTATTGCCCCTATAACTGATAATACTAACACTATAGCAATTAGTACAAGTGGTATCGCATATTCTGTGTAAAATACAGTACCTACTGTTGTTAATTCTAAATCTCAATTCTGTAATGAACTAGTATTATAAATACCATTAATATTTTCAACTATATTATAATTGATATTATCTATTGTATCAAAAGTTTCATATAATAAATCTAAAGGTATTAAACATATTAATAAAACATAAACTATTTTTTTATTAAATGTACCTTTATAACTATATTCAATATTTAATAAAGATAATATAAATAAAAATAAAATAGCTATAGCTCCTACATATACTAATATATATAAGATACCAAGTAATTCAAATCCAGATGAATATAATGTGATAGCTACACTAACAAAAAGTGCTATTAAACTAACAATACTTTGTACTGGTGATAATAGACTTAAAGCCAAAAGGCTACAAATTCCACTGATTAAAGTCATTTTTATTTTAATTAAAAGTAATTGATATAGTAAATATCAATTAAACAAAGTCTGTACATTCTCGTATAGGGTTTTACCCCTTTATATTTATTCTATAATATGCCCCCTGCAAAGCAGGGGGGATATCCTAACCCTCTATGGGGCAGAATATTCTCCTCTAGGAAAATATATAGAATATATTTCGTCTTTATTAGGAATTGAACCCAAATTGTTGTATTAACAGTACAAAGTTTTGCCATTAAACTATAAAGACATAGGCCTAGTTATTTAAATTAATAAATAAGCAATTTATAAATATAACCCTCCCTTAGGGAGTAGATAACATAACCCCTCCTTCGGAGAACCTCCGAAGGAGGGGTTAATACTTAATATATCTTTAGATATCTCTCCTATTAATATATAGATTATAGTCTATCTCTTATTTTACCCCCCCCCTCTTCGAGGGGGGGGTCCATAGAAGAAATATTATTCAATAATATATATTTAGTAAGAATAGTTATACCAATCCCTTCTTTCTCCCCCCTTTCTTATCCACAGAGCTACGCTGAGCGTAGCGATGCGGAGTTCTGCAGAAAGGAGGTGGAAAGACGAAGAAGGGGGAAATGGTTAGATTTACTCTGCGTCACTTAATCACTCGATAAAGTCCGAGATAGATACGCACTCTAGCTTAATTGGCATAAGTGCGTGGTTACCTAGATTTATTAACATATATATACGGTCTCACTCCTTAGATCATATATCCCCCTAAAGGGCTATTATTTAATAGATATATCTATATATCACTATATAGCTTAGACTATGTCTTCATCTTATATTATAAATAAGATGCGAGGCTTTCTTGAAAGAATTGTTTATTCTTTTAGTCGTTGAACGTTCCTATTAATTTATTATATCTAAAATATATAAATAGGCTTCGCTACAAATTACCTTCCCCCGCCCTTCTACGAAGGGGGGTATTTATAAGGGATCTTCATAATTAACCTCGTTTCACTAATAATATATGCCATCCCGAGGGGATGGGATAGATATCCTCCTAGTGGAGGACATATATTAGCTTCAAATATATTTCTCAATATATTAGAGCCAACCCGTAACTCCGCATAATTCGCTCATTAATTATTAACATATATATTACTTAATATATATCTCTGTATATCACTACACAGCTTAGACTATGTCTTCATCTTATGTTAACCCCTTTCAAGTAATTATACTGCTCTAGATGTGGAAGGGATATTTCATAAGATGCAAAGCTTTCATGGAAGAATTATTTCATCTTCTAGTCGTTAAACGTTTCTATATTTACTCCCCCTTTTAGGGTTACCCTAAAAGGGGGGAATCTTATATATAGACTTCGTTATAAATTATCTTATATTATGTTTTATATAAGAGATCTTTATAGTTAACTTTGTTTTCATTTATATTTTACAATATAAAGGTGCTATTATGCTAACACTGTCCATAATAAACTCCAGTACGTTGGATTAATGCACTTACTTGGTTTAATCTACCAGGTGTAGCATCAATTTTAATACCTAATGAAGGGATTGTAAAACAGTGAATTACATCATTAGCTGTTACTACAAATCTAACATGAGTATCAACAGGAACAACAATAGATGTATCAGTATCTAATAATCTTAATTGTCCTTCTTCTAACATATCATCTGGAATAATATAGGACTCAAACTCAATTGATTCACCTGTTTCACTAACAAAGTCAGAATATTCGTATTTTCAATATCATTGAAGACCGATAACTTTAATAGTCATAGCAGGAGTTAATACTTCATCACATAAGTATAATAAAATGAAACTAGGGAAAGCAATTAATAATAATATAACTGCTGGGAATATAGTTCATATAATTTCAATTGTTTGTCCATGTCTTATATATTTATATGCAAATTTATTATTTCTAAAATCTTTAATAATAACATATAATATATAAGATACTAAACCTAATATTAATGTAAGATAATACATAATATGGTCATATAATTCATGTATACCCTCGCTATTTGGTGTAGCTGAGTCTTGAAATCTAATTGCTCATGGTGTTGGCACATCTAGTCAGATCATAATTTAATTTTAATAATTTTATATCATATATATCTGGAACCAATCGGAATTGAACCGATAACATACGCATGCAAAGCGTAAGATTTACCAATTAATCTATAGTCCCTGAGTGAAATGAAGGGAGTATAGATAAATCCTATCCTTTTGGAATAAGTTTATCTATTCAAGATTTATCCACCTCCCCTTCAGGGCGGAGGATTAATCTATAGTCCCATTATTAGCACCCCCCCCCTGCAAAGCAGGGGGGAGTAAATACATTTAAAGTATCATATAAATCATTAAGGAAAATATATATTATTATATTTCTTATGGATATTATATTAGTCTATAATTCTTCAATAACATGGAGTAATGTTATCTAATGTTACTAAATATATAATTCACATTATTCATATATATATCTCCTCAACAGGAGTATATAATCTGATAACTCTACTTGCTTATATAAGTAATATATAATATATAGACATGTGATATTTGGTTATATTTTGACATGATTTGTTGTTATATATGATTAATCATATCTCTACAGAAGTATAACTACTGCAAGAGATATATTTATTAGTTTATTATATCCTTTCTATACTTTATATTCTCATAGTGAACTATGAGGTATAAGGGGTATAGATACATAGATATATTACTATTACATTATTATCTTTAATGTATATATAGTGAGTATATAAGGCTTAATATTTTATAAGCTATCAATATTTATCCTTTATAGTCTTAGCTTAGAATCAAATGCTCTTAACCATTGGACTATATTATATAATCCTTTCGTACACATATAATTATATACTACTATTAACGTCATAGATGATAAAATCATTACTGACTCACGTCGTAATTAACCCATCTCAAGTAACTTTTTAAACGACGAACAGTCGTACCCTTATTAGCTTCTACGACCAATAGGATAAGTCTAGACGACCAAATATATTATCATATATAATTCTTATTATATATATCTATAATTTTCATTATAGTTTAGACTATGTCTTAATTTATATATTCTTAATATATATAAATCTAGAGTACTCATGGAAAATATATTATATTTTCTAGTCGTTGAACGCCATATATCTAATTTCCCCCACCTCCTCTGTTAGAGGAGGTGGGGGAACTATACAATAACGCTGCAAATTATCATAAATATATATATATTCTTAGATATCCTTGCAATTCACTCTATTTAACCTCAACTATGTCTATTTCTAATCGAGGTGGCAAACATCGCTGACGATATCAACTCTCTAGCGATATTACCCTGTTATCCCTAGCGTAACTTTAATCCGTAATCGACACTCAATTCTAATGATATTGCCTGTTCAATATACTATACTTAAGTACTAATTCCACAAGTATGTGTCATTATCATAGCACAGTTATGTTATTATCCTTATTAATTTATTTCTAATGATTATTAAAATCATATCAAAATATATACTAGTTGCCATCTAGTGTATCTGTACTTGTTTATACTATTATAATCCATTTAGGATATAATCCTTATATCTAGATATATAAATATAACTATAAATATAAGGGAATATAAAAATATCATATAGACACATCAGTTATGTTTTGTGATGCCGACGCCCCATCGAAACTAACCATCTTATATGGTGCCTCCCCCCCTCCCCACCAACCTACTACACATAGCTTCGCAGAGCGAAGCGATGCGAAGTTATGAAGGTTGGAGGGGAGGGGGGTTGTTAGGTTAGTTATATACTTAAAGATATAAACAGATAAATGAATATCTTAAATTTAAATATTTAGGTATAAAACAGTATAAGAATATAGTAAAGCTGCATAGGGTCTTTTTGTCAATCTATGACTACACAGTATCTTCACTGCGATTACTATTTCACTGGGTATACCATAGATACAGCTATAGTATCGTATAATCATTCATGCGGGACACCAATTATATGCCAATGAATTTTGCTACTTTCAGATCCTCATGATAAGACCGTCGTTAATAAGCCAATTATAATTTATCTTGCTAACACCGGACAGATATCACTTACTATACCGATAGTTTCCTATTTGCAGTAAGCTGTGTTTTTGGTAAACAGTCGTACTATTCAGGCCTTGCCTTATTTGCCGAGTTCATTTATGATACTTCACCCATTCCCACTCATCATATATATAATATATGATATTTATATATTTTATTATAATATATAAATTATTACACACCTGGGTCGGACTGCGGTACGGTTATTACATTTTCCTGTACTATCAATCATCATATATATATTTTCATATATATACTTAGATACCGTTAATTTATAGTTAAACCTTATGTTTATGTGGGGGTAATCCTAAATTACCTATCGTTACTCAAGTCAGCATTCTCTTTATAGTTTTTATCACTATATAATCTACTACTATATAATATATTACTTATATTATATCTATGATTCGGTTCCTACATTTAGACCCGTATATTTGTTCCTATCTTTTGATACATATATCTAATTAGATATATATTCTATTAGTGCATTTTTACATGTTCTTTAACAGGTGATTATTATCAAACCCACTGACTAATTGTCTGATCAAAATAAGTCTATTATATATAGACATAGAGGGGATTTCTCGACCCATAGGATTGTATTCACTTAATGAGGATTTGGGACCTTCATTTCATAGTCTAGGTTATTCCCTATTCGACCTATTACCTTATCGCAATAAGTCTGACTCTTTATATCACATATTATACCTGTTCAGAGGTTTAATACATATAGTAAATAAATAAATTCCCATATGGTATTAAGTGCTTTACCAGGAAATATGGTTTTATAAAGGCTATACTAACATATATTTCGTAGATAACCAGCTATCTGCACATCAGTTTTGCCTTTCACTACTATACACGTATCTTTAGAAGATATTGCTACATCTACCTATTTGATCATACTTTCACCTTAAGATGAAAATATATCTATACATATATAGATCATGTGCTTTCGGGTCTATCCTTATAAACTATTTATACATATAAAAAATATAATATATCTAATAACATATAATTTTAATTTCGCTTATAAGGATAACTCACTGACCCATTATACAAGAGGTACACTATACTATAGTTGCTCTTTATTAATATATTTCATAATATTTTCTATATATTTATATATTAAATATAAATATAAGTTAATATAAGACTCTTTCCTTTACAGTACTTTTAACTTAATATTATAGTTTATGTATTAGTAGTAGATACTACTATATTCATACCACAAGGTATTACTTGTATACAACAACAGATTCTCTCACCGATACTACTGTTAGCCCTATTGGTTTTTACATATGTTACTAAGATGTTTCAATTCACATAGTTTTCTATATACTATTTATAGCTAGGATCGGCTTATGCCTTACTTATTTATCCTTTCTATAATATTAGTCTCCCATATATTATATATATATCTATGATTTCATACATATATATTATATGAAATTTATGAGTATCCATATATTAATATTAATATCATTTATAACTTTTTCAAATCATGTCTCCTATATTTTTTATAATTATAAAATAATATATAAGAATATATCTATATAATCTTACTTACATACCCGCCCTTATAGTATATGGGCGGGTATGCTCAATAAATCTATATACTATATCTTATTTTATTTATATATATATATAACTTAATGACCTACAATAGGTTATATCTCTTAACAATGGATATATAATATTATATACTAAAAATATAGAGATAATCTTACACTATTCCCCCTCCCCCCCTTCTTTATAAAGTAGAAGGGGGGTTATGTGTATATATAATATACCTTATTATATTTTAATATATATATTATTTCATAATCTTCCCTTAGATAACTATATAGAATAAAATATCAAACATAGATATAATCTTATAAGATTCCCCCCTTCTTCTATTGCATAGAAGAAGGGGGGTTATAGAGGAATATACATCTATATATGTAGATATATATTATATTAATATATATATTTTGGTAAAGATTGTTATATATGTCAAAGAATAGATATGATAAATATAATATAAAGGATAGATATTATCTTATACCCCCGCCTTATTCCATAGAATAAGGCGGGGTAATAGTTATAGTCTATATATAAGTATATGATTACATTAAATATAATGCTTATCTACTTAAGTAAGTATAACATATAGATATCCCCCTTCTTTCTTAGAAAGAAGGGGGGGGGGAGGTGGAATATTTATAGGAATTATACCTTTATATATATATATTAATGACGAATATTAGAAATATTATCTTTAGTATTTATATCATAAAGTTCTGTATGAGGTAAATCATTAGTAAAATTACGATTTAATTGTAAAGCTTTAAGACGTATTTCTACAATAAAAGCTACAACTAATATAACTAAGAATAATACTAATATAATTAAACCATATATACCATTAGTATAAGGACTTACAACATAAGGTAATATAGAAGATATTTCTAAATCAAATGGTAAGAATAGGATAGCTACTAATATGAAAGCTACACTGAAGGCAGATCTTGATTGTTGGAAAGAAGTAAATCCACATTCAAAAGGACCATCTTTTTCTACATAAGAGTTACTTGTAGCTAATAATCAGTTTATACCTACTAATACTAATGCTACTATTGGACATAAAATTAAATAAGCTGTAAACATTATGATAATATTATACTAATCACATCTAAAATATTAAATATATAAACAAAATATGTTAAGAAGAATACTAATAATATACTTATAACTAATGCTACTGATTTATTAATTGGTTGACTATATGGTATAGTTAAATTAGTAGCTAATTGTTTAATTATATATGCATAATAATATGTAGCTATTACACTAAATATTACTATAGATATAGCTTCAACAGTAAAGTTATATTTCATTAAACTTTGTATTACATAAAATTTACCATAAAATCCTGGTAGTGGTGGTATACCTATTAATGATAAAAAACATAATATTAAACATACTGATAATAATTTATTTGGTATAATTAATTGATTTACATTTACTATAGGTGATCATTGACTATTAGGTTTAGTAACAAATTCATTACTAGCTAATAGACATAAGAATATCATAACATGTGTAATAACATATTGTATAATATAAATATAATATGAAGGATCTTGTAGGCATACAGGAAGTAATAAATAACCAAAGTTTAATATACCACTATAAGCTAATATAGTTTTAAAGTTTACTTGGAATAATGGTTTATATGCTGCTACAATTATAGAGATATAGAATATTATTATTAATAAATCTGAATGTATTAAATTAGAATTAGTATATATTCATGATAATATTGATACTTTAGCTACAATAGATATATAACCTGTAATATATGTTGGTGCATAATTATATACAGCTATACTTCATGAATGTAATGGTGCAAGACCCATTTTAAATATTAAAGCTAATATTAATATATCTAAACTATCAAATAAACTATTAGATCTATATACTGCATAATAATTAGTTATATCAGTAATATTACAACTACCTACAATATTATATATAAAGTATGAAGCTAATAATATACCAATAGATGCAATACCACCTGTTACAAAGTATAACATACTAGCTCTTGTAGTATTATATGATTTATGATGAACACCTGTTATAATATATAAAGAATAACTTTGTAATTCAATAATAATATATAATAATAATAAATCATTAACCATAGGAAATAATATTAAACCGATTAAGTTAATAATAATTAATAAATAGATTCACATATTAGTAATATTATAACGTTGTTTAACAGTGATATAAATTAATAAAGAAATAACTAATATAATTTGAAGATAAACTAGAGGGATATTAGTATCATTAAGTTTAAATCAATCATTATAAAGAGTAAATTGACTATATCTTAAATCTAAACTTTGATAAGCTAGATAAAGGACATATAGTAATCCTAGAGATGCTAATCTATTTATGTGATAGATATTAGCATGATTAAAAGCGAGATAAATAAGAAGAATTATAACTATAGAGAATAGCATAAGACACAAAGGGAATCGAACCCTTATGTTATTATCCGTAGTAATATGTATTACCATTATACTATGTGTCAT